CCAAAACGTTTCTTCAGAAGAACTCTTTGCCTCGAGTATTTGTCATCAGGGGAGAATCGAGCTGCAGTTTATAAAAGAAAAAAGGACGTAAGAGTATATCAATGACATTAAAAAACATGGCAATGAAATGAGAATTCTAACATGCAAAATATTCTAAATAATAACAAGAAAACAAGAATGATTCCTCTGCTTTAAACTGAAAAATTCCACATGAACATGTTTCCGAGTTCATCAAAGCACTCAAAATGTAAGCAAATGAAGAACATAGGTCATGATATTGACACCACAATTGGGCATTTATTAACTGGTGACCGGAGTAGAATAAACAAAGATGGACAGCTACATTCTTTTTCCTTTTTAGGAGTAAAGATTGACAGATCAACAGCAATATAAAGCATGATATTGTATGATTTTCTCTAAAGACTAAAGATGACACATTCAACATGAAAGTAAGATCATCAAGAACAAACAAATAAGTCCATGAAAATTGAATTAACTATTCAAATAGCAGATTGATTGAAACATCAGGATATATTACCTGGATGAGCAGATTGAGTAACCAACCCCAATGGTGATTCTTTCTGCAGGAGAAATTCGATTTTTAATGACTGAGGTGAAATAAATGGTGAATTTACAAATAAGAAGACTGGTAACGGTTAAGAAATAAGATGATATAAGCAAAATTCATGTTTGCAGCAGGATGGGCTGTTAAGGATTAGGATACACAGACTCATGCAAACTATCCCTTGAAATTACTGAGGTTTAAAATTCAGTTATCCACTCCATAATTTACACTCCCTCCATCCCATAATAATAGACATTTTTTTTGGTTTTATCTTCAGATTAAGGATAGGAGGGATAATTAAAGTCAAAATGATAAGGTTAAGTAAGAAAAAAAATATGTCTCCTTAAAATATGAAAAAAGGACTATCATTCTGGGACAAAGTCTGAATCTATTATTTTGGGATGAATGGAGTACTATAGAATAATCAGCCATCTATTTAGAATGAACAAAAATCACCTTACAACATTGTGAATCAAAATACTCTACTAACCGGAAAATCTATCAAAACTAGTTTTTGACATTCTAATTTAAGATAAATCTCCTATGTTGAAGCTCCAAATTTCATTGCATAATAAGTTCTTCTCTATGATGATCGAACCAATGAAGAAATAAACAAATTATTGCCCCGAATAAACATTTACCAATTGAAACTAATAAAAAATAAAATGCAGACAGCTATCTTAACAAAACCTAAACATCAAATTAACCCGGAACCCAAAACTTTTATTAACCTTGTTTGAACTGGGCATCAAAGTCACCCATGCACAAACAGAAGCATAACCAGCCTAAAAACAATTATCATGAGGAGGCAGGCAAGACAAACTTATAGCAATTGCTTTGAATCATCTGAAACTCAGTTTCCATGCTTTCCAGGTAACATAACAATAATCAGCAAGAGATACCTTCGTGGTGTACACTTTATCACCATTCTCGTTTATGTAGTATTGAAGATACATTGCAGCTGGATATCAGTATCACCCTGTTCAAACAATATCAATATCACCTGTTTCCAGCAGAAAGATAGTAAGGGACCCAAGAACAAAGTCACAGAAAGAATAAAAACTGCCCCTTTGGCACTAAAACAAAGCTATGGAACACTGAAAATCGGTTGAATTTGAGAGAAAGAACGAATCTTTTGCAGAGAATCTTCCTTAATTTGAGGTTTCAGGAAATGGGTCAGAAAAACGAAGAGCTGTAAAGGAAGAGAGCTTACAGTGAACGACGGCGTTGGTGACGAACCCTAACAAATGGAGAAGACGATTGCCTCCGTTTATAGCTCGAGCATACTTGGGCCTTTCTTGTGCTCTTTCTTAAAGAGCCGTTACTAGGCTTAAGCCCCTCCAAATTTAATCGGACCACCAACCCAATATCCACGATCTTTTTTTCTTTTTTTTTTTTACATTCTTTCTTTTTTTTCTTTTTCCATTTTTTTTTATTATGTGACATTTTACATTCTCTTTTTCGCACATAATTTCATTCTACTTTTCTATATCAAAATAATAATAATAATAATAATAATAATAATTTCATTCTACTTTTCAAGTACACAATGACTAAATGGTAATTTTGTCTGAATTTCATAAAGTTTAATTATGTACATACAACTTATCTAACAATATAATCTCACAATTTCATAAGAACAGTTTTTTTTTTTTTTCTGTTTTTTTATCTTAAGTTGCATAATGAAAAATCACTTTTTCTCACCTCTTAATCCACCCTCATTTGCAGATAATCTACTCAAACTTAAAATTTTTTACTGTTATTAAAAAAAATTAATATTAAACTACTTATGTTGTTAGTCATATAAGAATAGTTATGATTAATTATTTTTCACTCAATTTAGTACATGAATTAACATACATTTACTCAACTACAGGCCATATAAAAATAATTATGATTAATTATTTTTTGCCCAATTTAGTGTTTAAATTGACATACATTCACTCAACTGTAAGTTTTTATTTACTTATCTTTTTTTTTTTTAATTTGAGTTAGATAATAAAAAGTAACATTTTCTTATTTCTTAACCCTGTATACCTGTCTTTCTCCTTCAATTGCACAAAGAAATAGATTTAATTCAAGACATGCAAACTAAATTAGCTAGTTTGATAATTTAAGAATTGGATCTATTGATAATTGTCTGTCTTATATATTAAATTTAAATTTTAAAAAAATTAATTTCTTTAAAAATATAAAACCAGTGCACCTTTAACGTACCAAAAAAAAAAAAAACAAAAAACTAGTGTACTTTTAAAATTATCAAAAGAGATTAGTCTTGCACAAAAACTTGTCTATGTCTCTAAACCAAAAAAACTAAATTTGTTAATACATTGGTTGGTTCCTAAAATAGGAAAAAAAGTTTATCAAAGATGGATTCAAATCATAACGTAAAATGTTGAACATGTTAGAGACAGTGAGTGACTGTTAATGCCATTGCCATGAAGGATAAGCAAATGTTGTCCAACCAATATAGGAAGCAGCTCTGCCCTAGTAACTGGATTAATCAACCTTGCTCCTCCTGGTTTGGTTGGGATTTTGGACAAGGACGGGTTGCGTGCTCCACCTGTTTTTTCGCTTTGTTTGAGTTACTGTTTCCGTTGTGCTGCATGCTTTCTGGACAGTTTTTTTTTTTTAATTGATCTGGAGAGTGTATTTGTTTGTAGTAATAGTAATAATTCCCATGTTTCTGGCCAAAAGAAAAAAAAAAGGGGGGGAGATTGTTGACCATATTCAAAGTGGAAAATATTTTTACACTCAATTATACGAAAAAAGTTTCAATCACAGGAATTCCAAATTTAACCAAAAAATTTTAATCAAACGAAAATATTTCAATCCATAACAAAATACTGATTAATTTAGAATTTCAAAATTGAAAAAGTGAGTATTAGATTGTATATTTAAATTTAAATTAAAAAATATTTAAAATTATGTTATTTTAATAAAATTTCTTTAAAAAAATAAAATATACTAATTTTTAATAACTTTTTTTTAATCTCAAGTTACATAATAAAAGATAGCCTCTTTTATTTTTAACTCACTTTACTTACATATTATATGATTTAAATTCAGTACTTTTTTCCTGTATTAAGCCCCTTAATATTTAAAAATTATATTAGGTTTCAACTAATTAATCTAAAGTTAAGTCGTATTGGAAAGAAAAGATCTCTTAACACATATTTCTTCATTTATAAAATTTGAAATTGAAATTATACTTAGGAAGGAGAACCGAGTTTGTTTCAATCGAACTAACAGTCATTGATATTCAACACCTTTTACTTCAAATAGGAAATAAATTATTGCTAAATTATAGTAACCTCCCTTATTCCTTAACTCATGTTACATACAATATCATACAATTTGAACATAACACCTTTTATTTCAACAAGAAATAAATATTATTGAATTATTTAAATTGTTAATAGAATTCATTAAAATTTGTTTTAAGTCTATCTTCTTTTTGTGGATAAACAGCTATCCAAGTGTTTAACGCGATTGAATCTATGCATACCTATAAACCACGTCATTTATAAGCATTAGATGAAACTTTACCTTCAAGCAAAGCAGGCATTATTCATTAAATTTGTCTATACTCAAACATAGATGTGGAACGTGTGTGGCAGGATATATATATCATCAAATCAATCCTCATCCTCTTAGATGAGGAACATGAAATATCAATGGACGGTTTCAGGCAACAGACGGCCGCCCTGAAAATTGCAAATTGGAAAGCCATTGATCCCGACAAAATAGTTATCCGAGAGATATCTGAATATCCACACCGAGGATGACACATATCCCACCAAATGCAGACATTTCCTGTACCTGTATTTGGAACATCAGATCTCATTTAGTTAATACCAAAAGCAAGTGTCGGTACTAACAGGTAATTTTGATAGGACACCTGACTCAACTTAAGCCAAAGTGTGTCCTTATAAATCTCATCCACATTCTACATTTGTGCTCCATCCAAACACCAACTGCTTCTCCACTCTTCTCCTTGGTACTCCCTTTCTTCCTGAAACTTCAGAGATGGCGAGTTCTCGGCTCTCCAGGTTCGTCATGGAGGTTGCTCCACCTCAGTTCGTTAGTGTCATGAGGTACAGGTCGAGGAAGATGATGGATACCATAAGCGAGGAGGACAGAGACGTTGGCAACAGTGATTCCCATTCAAGTTCTTCCTCTTGCATCTCTGCTGCTGCTACCGCTGCATCCTCTTCTGCTGCTGTAGCTGTTGCTTCGGCCAACTCTAAGTATTTCCTCAAGGGTGTGCGGAGTTCCTTTTCCATCTTTGAGAACTAATTTAACTTGATTTTGATGCGTCTGTACTAGGCACTATAATGATGGAACAGCATGGTATGTAGTGTAATTTCCATCTTGTACACAGAGGAAAACTTTCATCAATTAAAATAACAAGAGTCGAGGCACTGGATTCTGAATGTTTTCAACACAAATTATAATCATAACACAGTCGATGCCTACTATGGCTCGAAGCACAATCTCAGTACATTCAATAGTTGTATATTTGTATTTGTAAGAACATAATCGAGCAGCGTTAATGTCATTTGCTTTCCTGAGCTTCTAAACTCTCATCATCTGACAGTTTTGCAGCAAAAGTAGTATATTTTGCACCTGAAAGGCTAAAACTGCCCCTGGTATGCAGGGTGTTATGCGGGTCCATACACCAGATTCAGTGTTGATTTACTTTGGTTCATGTGCGTGAATAAATTGCACAAAATTCCAGCGCACTGATGAACATGGAAGCTTTAGCACTGCATCAAACAATAGCCATTTCTCGGATAAAAATGCTGCGCAGCAGTGTAGGAAGAACTCCTCTCTTCGGCAAACCATATCATCCCTTCTGATTGTCTGTTTCCACGTTCTTGCTCATTTTGGGAAATTTGGAACGAAGTTTTCTCTTCCGAGATGCTTCTAATTCGACTTTCTCTTTCAGTTTTTCCAGCACTGATACATTAAAAATATGAAACCTCGTCATAAAGAAATCAATTTTTGCATAAAAAGAAAAAATTGCGAGTCTTGCTATGAGCTAGAACCAGCCATCCCTCTGACAGCAGCTCTTTCACTTGAGGAAAATTCTAAAATACCATTTAGTACTTTATAGTAAACAAAAACATCCTTGATGCAGGGATGAACCTCACAAGTATTAAAAATTACAAAAAGAAAACAAGCATTTAAAAGGTCAAGTGATCTGGGTCACCTAATCCTTTTGCTATCAGATATTAAGCAATCAAGAGCAACATATTAAAAAGAGAGAGCAGTATATCAAAATCATCTAAGAAAGAGACTAGAAATGATATAAGGAATGCATGGATCTTCTAAGTCAAACCAAGTGCATCTAGAATCCAAAGCTGCCATTTGACCAATTTAGTTGTTAGCTTTGGCATCGAAAATGAAAAGCCAGGAATTTACCAGAGTTATAGCTATCTCGAAGGGATTCAATTGACCCGGATGAAACAGAGTACAGTGGAACAGAGTCATTATCAGCTTTTTGTAATAGCTTCTTGAAACGCTTTACCTGAAAAAAATGAAAGCATAATAAGTTGCACAACTGTTAAGGAGGTCAAATTTTCACACATCATACTCCTGGATTGGAAGCAATAACAGTGGTTGCACACCTCATGTCTGCGTAGTAATGTGAAGCAACGCCCAGCTTGTCCTGCTCTTGCGGTACGACCAGCTCGGTGAATGTAGGTCTTTATATATGCAGGCATATCATAATTAATGACATTTCTCACCCCCTCGACATCCATTCCACGAGTCATGGCATCGGAGGAAACAAGTACTTGTACCTTCCCATCTCGGAATGCTTTCAATGTTTTGCTACAGCACAAGAATGGATCTCATTATGCCAAAAAATGTTAGATTATCTTAAATAACCTCATAAATCTTGTATTTGTGTCTGGTGTCATTTAAAGTTGTCAGCTAGAACACAGGAGGTTACACTATGAAATAGAGCTGATTCCATTTCTCATAGATAAAAAGACCATCAAAATTTGATTATCTTCCAGTTTCCATATAAGTGATATATTCATCCATGCAATTCTTATCCATTGTCAAGAGGGCAATGGGAGGTATAGACTAAATAGAAAATGAAGGAAAAGGGATTCTCTAGTTTGATTAGTCTTTGTGGAAGGAACGGGATTTGAAAGGATCAGCTTTTGTTGCAAACCTATCCAAAACTATGTAGTCCAAAAAGAAGTGATCTGTCATACAACTTTATTCATGTCAAGGTCAAATTTTTGTTACCCAATCCTTGCCACTTGATTTAAGCGTGTCTTGCTATCATCAACAGCACAAATAAATAAAATAAGATCAATGGATATTTTTCCACTACTCACTATAATACAATAATCACAAAGGTTATCAAATTGTGCTTGGGCACCATCCAATGTCATCCTTTAATGCCTAGGTAGGCCAGTAGCGTGGTGACATCAATGTTCAGTTCACCTAATAATTCTCAAAAACCATTAAAGCATAACATACCAAGAAGGTTTATAAAATGCTCAATCAATCAGAGATACTATTATATTGCCAAAAAAATACCATGAAGAGCAGATAGAGCTCAATTGAGAAATTATGAACAAAAAGAAATTAGTCCAAAGATTACCTTCTTATAGATTGTCGTTGGAGACCTGAATACTCCTTGATCTTTATTTTCAAATCACCAAAAAGATTTAGCAAGGTACAGAGGCGATGGGTAGACTCCGTGGATGATGTAAAGACAATGCACTTCTCTCCCTCTAGATCTTGAAGAAGTGCAACAAGATAAAGGGGCCTGAGGTTTGATTCACATATCTGTACAAAAAGACATAGAAAACCAACTCAAGAGTGGAAAAAACATTGACCTCTGAATGGCTGTCAGGTGAATATTCTGCTTGAAAAGTCCAAGAAACTGGGAGCCAGAAGGGTTATAGACACATACCAGCTTATAAGATTCCAATTTTTCTGGGAGTTGGTAACGTCTCTTCCCAGTTGTCAATAGTAAAGGGTGATGCAAATCAAGCTGAGCAAGTTTGCTTGGATCTTGGGTTAATGTGGCAGATAATACCATCTTCACAAGCCTTGGATAAGATTTACTTTTGAAACCCCTTTCAACTCCACTGCAAGAAGTTTATATAAAACTTATAGCTAGCGGTGGATATTCATAAAATCTAATTCTCTTATTCATACAATATTAGCCCATCCTTAGACACAAAAAGTATGAACCAATCTCCTTAATTCAAGGCTGAGAAAACTTTCTACTCATTAGCAGTGTTTAGCTTATGCCAAGAACCTAGATATCAAATCATATGTTTCCATAAAAATGAAACCACTTTGAGGCATTAACCTATCATTTAGCACCCTATGCATGTTGAAGAATCTCAAGGCACAAGGCACAACTATAAGAAAGCTATGTAGAAAGAATCTGGAACTTACCATCGCCTAATAGTTCTTAAGGAATCAAATATCGATGGAACAAATGGATGAGTAGAGGAAAAGAGAATATCATCATTAGATTTAGTTATTTGAAGCACTGTTGGTAGCCAGGACTGATATGCCTCCCTAAGCATCCGATCTGTTTCATCAACTACCTGCAAAAATTTTCTTCATCAGCATCTAATTTACACACATAAATTCACTCAAACTAAAGAATGATAAACTTCCATTCTCCTTCACAATGAATTTCATTTTCAGCCTCATGACCCACCCTATATAAGCGAAGGAGATATGAGATATCACCATAATAGGGGTCTCTCTCCATGTCTCCGAAAAGTTTTCACCCCTTAGGTCCAGAATGAACTAGAGAAAAAAGCCTCATTGAGAGATGATAGCAAAACATTGCGAGAGTAATCTTTCCCTTAATAGCCAAGTTTCCAGTAAAATGTTTCAGCCAGATTAATAATATTTGGGGACAAACATAAAATTCACACATATCATGGTACTGTCACTGGAAATGATGACATGGAAGCCTTAAGAGAAGTATCAAGTATGAATAAACATTCATGTATTAAACTGAAATACATATAATTTGTGTAATTAGTGGCATTGACTTACAAGGTAACGGAGATGCTCAAGTGTAAATCCCTCGGTGGTGTTAATGTGGTCCATAAGCCTTCCTGGAGTTGCCACCAGTATGTCTACAGAAGATTGCAATGCTTGTGTAACTTCTTCTGGGTCATAACAGATGCCTGCCTCAAAATTAGGTTTCTCAATAAGTTCTGAAATTTCATCAGCAATTGAAGATTGACCAACAGCCAAACCAACAGATAAGCCTACTGCAGGTGCAATGGCTGCAAAAACTTCCTTAACCTGAAAAGTTGCATTGTTAATTAGAATCAATGCTTAAGCAATAAAATTATCTACAATAGATAAAATAATCAACCAGAATAATAGAAAGAAAACCATATTAAAGAAAAGTAATGCAAAAGAGAAATATGTGTGTGTGTGAGTATTCATTTACGTATTAGGTTTAAAAATATTCCAGTCATACTTGACCATTCAAGATACCGCATATAAATCAAAAGGCAAAATCTGATGCTTCAGTTTACTAATGTAAACAATAAATTTCTCCTTCAATCCTTCAAGAAAATAAAAGAAGTCATAAATTTAGAAAGAAGTTAATTGTATTTGTATCTGTCATTCACTTCACCAAAAAAGAGAAATAAAAGCCAACAACCCACAAACAGGCAAAGACTGATTAGTAGAATCATAAGAGTCCTAGATAATATATTGAGGCAGTTTATGTGACAAGGCATTTAACCTGTAGAGCTAAATCACGTGTAGGCAACACAACCAGGGCACGTAGACATTTTACACAACGAATTGATAGCATCTGCACTATTGGCAAAGCATAAGCTAAAGTTTTCCCGCTTCCTGTTGGCGAATTTATGCAGAGATCCCGCTCAAAAGCACCAGGCCCTACTGTCTCTTGCCAAACTGCTATTTGCACCGGAAAGAGTGAAGAAACACCCATTTTCTGCAATGCCACTGTCAACCTAACTCAAAAGAAATTTAT